CATTTTTTTTCAATCAATTTGGCATTCCAACGTTATATTTCCAGAATCAAACGGTATATAGTTGCCCTGATGATCCAACACTTTTATAGTTAAATCTTTAATAAATGAAGAAATTAATTGTTTTTTTATAATTGGTGGATTGTACACAAACAAATCGTCTCCACTTTCATCTGCATAATGTAAAGGGACAATACATAACAATTCACTTCTTGAATCACCAACAATTTCACTATTAATTTTATCACAATATATAAACAGTTTATTTAATCCAATTGTCGCATCAGGAAGATATGGACAGTGAAATAATTTAATTTTTTTTAAAAATTTACGTTCACTAGAATTAAATCCAGAATCAAATGTATATTTTATTTCTTCTTTATCCAACCCCAACATAAAACTTAATTTTTTTGAAAAAGACAATTTAAATTCCAAGGTATTATTTCCTGTAGCATAATCAATATAATCTATTTTGTTCATTACGGGGCGTGTCCAAATATAATTCTTAAAATCATATTTTTTACCATTTTTGATATAAGATTATTTTCCCTCAGCATAGTAACAAGTATATTCATTTGTTAAAATTATATTATTTTTTCCATTTTTGTTATTAAAAAAAAACATTAAAATCGTTTAAATAATCATTTAAAAGCGCTAAAATTTTTTTATTGTTATATATTCCAGATGGTATTTTAATTCTTGGTAAATTAAACTTCAAAATTGGATATAAACTTTTATCTATATTTTTAGTAGTATCATCCGTTTGAATAAAGAGAATTTTGAAAATTTTAATTCCAATTCACACCAGCATTCATCTTCATTAATATTTTTTGCTGTTTTTGTATAAAAAACATTTAACACAGATATGTATTTTTTATTATTTATTGCATCAATTTGACCTGGTAATGTTGTGGTAAAATTATTAATATAATTTTTTTCACCATTTTTATTATTAACATTACTAATTAATGTAATATTTTTCATTTTTTAAACCTTTCTTAATTCTTCACGATAAAACTTCCCTTGAATTTCCTCACCGCTGTTATCACAAAGCTTATAAGTAACAGGATCCGTCAACAAAACTTTATTTTTATAAAAAGTCTCATTAACCCACTGTCTTAAACTTTCCTTTTCTAAAATATTATTTTTAATTCTTGAAATTTGTACTTTATCATTTTTTTTTAATATATTTAAATTTTTATCCCTTTTTTTGTTTAAAATATTAGACAGTCTTTTGATGTAATCTATTTTTTTCCACCTAAATAGACATCATATGGTGAAAGATTATCGGAAAGTAATCCACGATGAGGAGATTCGTTATATCTTTCCACAATTAAATGTAAGTATTTTTTATAATTAAAAATTTTTTTTTCGCTTCTCGTTTGCAACAAGTCAATAGTTCTTCTAATCATCTGTTTTATTGTTCGTATAAATCTTTCAGCATGAGTAGCTTTAATTTCACGTTTATAGGTATTATATATTGTAAAATTATATTTTTTTGACAATTCTTTTCGAATTCCTTGAAATTCACTTCCTTCGTCCGATACTATTTTTTTAGGAAATTCATTTCCCTTCAATAAAATATCTTCAAATTTTTTCATAACATTTTTACTAGATTTATTTTGTAATAAACGAACAAATGCATATCTTGAATAAACATCGACTACACATAACAAATATCGCAAATTATCATTATATCTTGCCAAATCTTTCATTTCAGCTAAATCAATACTCCACAAATCATTTCTTTTCCATACATTTATATTTAATCAATTATATTTTTTCTTTTTCTTTTGATACAAATTATATATATTTTGTTCATTATCTTCTAAATGTTCACCTTTTAATAATCTTGCGGCTTTTTTTATAAAATCATCATTAATTAAATTAGTCTTCTTCTTCGTTCTCCTCATTGTCATCATTTACAATCGTTGGAAGAGGATGGTGATAATCAAGCACTGAAAGAAAAATGTCATTATATATTCTTTCGATTTCATCATTTCCACATTTTTTATAAATTTCTACAAAATCATATTTCTTTGCCATTTTTTCCTCTAAAATTTCATTCATAATTTCACTATGAAAAACAATGCAATCATATATTGAAATATCCAATTTATTAGGAAACTCTTTCAACATATAAATAGCTTCAATATCATTATCAATTTCAATGTCATTACCATTTTCAATATCATTTCCATTTTCATTCATTTTCCCTTTTTTTCTTGGTACGGTTTTCGACTTTTCTTTTTTACTTTTTTTTTCTTTAATATCCTTTCCTTTGCTTTGTTTTTCTTTTCTTCTTCACTTTTTAATAAATCACAACAAGATGCAACAAATTGTCGCAATTTTTGTGATATAGTTTTTAAGTCGTCATCTTTTCTGTAATACACTTTGTAACATTCATCCGTCCAATCAATCATCGAAATATCATTTAGATCGCTTGGTTTGAAACATTCATCCCAACTCATCATTATCATCATCAACACAAATAGTTACACTTTCATCAACAGTACGAGATGATTTTTGTGTTTTTAAAATAAGTTTTCCTGATTCACGTTCCAAAATAACACGTTTTTCGTTAGATGAAAACAAAACTTCATACAAATCTTCACCTTCATCTTTATTAGCAATTTTATTCAACACCTTTGCTAATTTTTCACATGCTTGCAAATTATTTTTGCAATTCGTCTTTACAACACAACCCATCATTGTATGGAGAGTAAACAGATTTTGAAAAAAAACATAACTTACTAAAACGATTAAAACTGCATACTTTATTTCCAAGGATTGCTTTTCCATTAGTATAACTTTGTAAAACTGTTACCAAATCTCTAAAAGTTTTTTTATAAATGGTAAACTCTTGAGCCATTTGTTTTATCTTTTCCTTAAAAAACTTATATCGATGTGTTGTTTGAAAGTATATGAAATCAAATGATACAAAACATGAAAAATAAGATGAATATATACCCTACAAAAAATCGACAATTTTTTATTTTTTACAAAAAATCAACAAATTTTTTTTACAAAATTATCAACAAATGTTTTTTCATTAATCCCATTCCATTTTTGTTATATTAATATATGATCCCTTAAAAAAATATAATTCTTTACCAATATTCTTTTCTATATATTTTTGTTCATTTATATAAATATTATTATAGTCTCTGAGATATGATTTATATTTTAAAATAAAATTATAAATTTTTTTTTGATCAGTAATTTTCAACTCGTTATTCTTTGATAAAAAGTCAAATATATAATTTTAGAAAAAATTTTTTAAAAATTTTTCGTCGAATGAAACAAATAAATTCCATTAAAATAACAATGAATTAAATTATTCCCATTCATCACCACCACCAATACAGATAGTTCCTTCTTCTAACAAACACGTATTTTCATAAAGTTCCTGTATCTCCAGAATTTTCTTTTCTTGGTATTTTATCTTTTCATAAATCCTCTTCAATAATATAACAGTGATAACATATATACCATGATAAAATTATTGAAAAAATAATAATGTAAAAAGAAATGTTATAACCAATTCATCTACAAGCACGTCCATCAAATAAAATCTTTAATTCCTTGATATTTTCTTCCACTATCTTTATCCTGCTATTAAAAAATTCCACTTTCGTTGAATGTATTTCGTTCAATTTAAGAAGAATACAACCAGATATAAGTAAAAGACAAATGTAGGAATCATCCATTTCTTCGTTCTTATTGCTCTTATTGCTCTTTATATCAACGCCCAAACATAAATTAAAATAATAAAAATAATACATAATATAAACAAAAAACAATTATAAATAGTATCACAATCATCATGATTATTTTCCATTTTCATTCAATATTTTTTTCTTTCTTCTTCTATCAATTTCTCTAACTCTATAATTTTATTTTCTTTTTCTTTTACGATAATATCTTGCTCTTTAATCTTGTGGTTAAGAGTTTCAATCTCTACATTCAATTTTTCAACATCTAATTTTAAAGCAGTCGCTTCTTGAGATTTTTCCTCAATTGTATGCAAAAAAAATAAAATAAAATCCGTATAAAATTGTTGTTTATTCACATCTGCCATCAATTGAATCGATAGTTATAAAATGTTCATAAGGAAAATTTTTCCAAATAAATTCATGATAAAATTGATCATATTCCAAAACATCGATTCTTGCTTTATATGCTAGATTTAAAGTTATTAATTCAGCATTTTCTTTTCTAATTTTTTTAATCTTGATACTAATAAATGGTTTTGTTCTTGAACCCTTCCACATTTTTCTGCATCATGTTCATAGTTTTGAATATAATGCAATTTTTTTCTTAAAATTTTATTTTCATTTTGACTATCTTTACATAATTTTTTTAATGCAACAAGCGTAAAACTTTTGTTAACATCATCCATCTCAAATAAAAAAATATAATAAAATTTTCTACTTAATACACTTATGAGTATATATATGTATTAATCAACTACTAGGGCATCGTCTTTGTCTTCAAGTTTTTTTAGCAATGCTTTATTTATATCAAGCAATTCATTTTTTTTTCACATAAAGATTTAATTACTATTTTCATTTCTTCAATAGTTAGAAATAATGTTTCTTCTCTTTCCACAAAATCTTTATTCTTTTCTTCAGCAATTCGAAGTCTTTCTTCTAAATCCTTTATCTTTTGTTCTACGATATTTTTTTCCAACACATAATTTGTGATTTGAACTTGATTACTATAATTTTCGAGCGATATTTCAGCTATCATTTTTTTATCTTTTTCTCTTTCTTTAACAGCTTCAAAATATTCGTCAAAAAAGTATTGATTAGTCTCACGAGATAAATCAAAAAATCTGATCATATACCGCATAATATTCTTACCAAAACTCTCTTCATTATCCATATTTAAAATATTTTTATCTTCTCTAATAATTCCTTCACTGTACTTATAGGCCGTATTCTATGGGGGATTATTGTTCAGGTTGAGATGCCGAAATTCATGACTAAGTAAAAACAACATAGATGTACTGATATGTACTCACTTAACATAAATCTGCCTGTTTACATCCCGAAAACTTGCAATCAAGAGAGCTAGAGCCATCAAAATTTCGACATTTATTTACTATATCCGCCATATTGTTTTTGTGTGAAATTCACTAAAATTGCTGGCTCATATTCAAAAAACGGTGCTAAATAATGATTAGGGATCAATCCTTCTAAGTTAATTTGAAATGATATGTTTAGCTATTAATCTTCCATAGCTGGTTGATGGACAAAAAGACTAAAAAATGAAAAAACAATTCTTGAAATTGAATTGTGAAGGAGTCCTTCATCTTATTGTGTAAATAATATAACGATAATAAATTGGCACATGAGATTGCGTACTCAGAATCCTTTGGTCGCCATCTAGTTCCTGATGTACACACTGCTGAGCAGTGCATTCTTAATAGAACATTTCATTGAAATCGTTTATGAAGTTTTCATGTGTATCGTCGGCATCATCGTAATCGCTATCATCGCACTCATCCGGCTCTTTTATTGGGCCGTCATCTTTAGAGGCGTAGTTACTGCAGTCAGAACAACCGCAAATGTCAGTACATTGCAAACCAGACCTCACGCACGAGCATCGAAGATTCTTGCAACCAGCTTTACACTTGCATGTCACGCACTCAATAAGTGTATCTGGAGCAGAAGGTCCAGTCATCCAAAGAATCTCTAACTGACCATTTTTAATGTGCCATCCATGGCTCACAGGAGGTTGAACATTAATGTGCGATTGCAAACTATTCTTCCAGATGGCTGCTTGGTAGTTGGCTCTCTTAATGTGCAAAAGCAGGCTATCTGCATTCGGGGGAAGGCATTCGTCCGAACACTTGCCAGATACAAAGAGAGTGTACCTAGGACCGAAAGAAATACAAAGCAAATGCAAAAAAGACAATAGTAGCAAAAATATATTTTATATTTACCTTGAAGCATTAACACGCGCTGAACTCTTATCGCCATAAAGAAGACATACAAATTTATTTAAAGAAAGCACTACTTCCTCAGGAAGATCAGAAGTCGAACCAAGTAATTTAAATGTTTCGATAAACTCAGGGTTATCATGAAGTACCTTCCAAGGTTTCCCTTTCCCTTTTCCCGTAAAGGCACTCGTAGAATCGCAGCCTATGCCGAAAAAAGAAATTATACCAATTGTAGATTATTTGTAGCGCATGAGGCCTTTTACTTCTCATTTTATGGTGATGTTTGCTGGACATATAAATTGTACTCACCTGTGAATGCATGAAATAACGGTAAGCATTGGCACAAATCCTCTCCGAGTGCATCTGATATTGACGTGATATTTATGGCTCGAAATTTTTTACCAGTTCCGGTCAATAAATAAAGATCTTTACCAATTTTCTTCTGCATGGCAGTACAAATTACAAGAACATCAGTATCGGGGGTTTTGACGATAAGATGATCATAAGTTTGCGCTGCATGCTTAACATGAAGTAGCAAGCGAGTATCTGCTTCTTCATGGTTACTCTCGAGCTCAGGAATATTTTCTGGAATAACTGGATCACTTGCTGATTTTCCTGGAGTCAGCCGAATGCACTTAGTATTGCTGGTTATATACAAGCAGGACAGACCAGAGAGCTGTGGTGATAAATAGGTACTCCAATAATCAGACACAAATGCCATAAGAGACTCTTTGTTCTTACCAGAGCTCATGAACTTTTTCCACTGCTTTGGTAATTTTTGGTCTTTGCTAAAGATATGGACAGTCTGTGAACCTTTAGAAAAATAGTGAAACTATTTAAGGACTAAGATTGAAAGATTGTTCTTATTTAAATCAATTATACCTTGGACGCTGGCTCGACGTGATCTCTCCGTGTTTTTAATGCTTATCTCAGGATACGTATCACCCACAAAATCAATCTTGAAACTTTCCACTGCTTTGTAAGCTGGACCAAGAAACTAAAAGTGGAATCAACAAACTCACCAAATGTCTTCCACTTGCCCTTTAGAACATGAAAACTGCCATTGCATCTACAAGTAACGCACTTCCATCTAGGTTTTCGACATTTGCAAGCATTAGTTGTTTTGCAAAGGCTCCAATATTTCAAACATCTTAGACTTTGCAGTCTTCACCATACCTCCTGAGACAGTAGAGTGATAGCGGATAATCACTAAGGCTGTAAGACAGCAATTCTTTCAGGTTTATTTCACGGGTTTTCGACAAACAAGCAGTTTCGCAAATAGGTTTCCTGCTTGACTTCACAACTAATTGTTGACCTTTACAGTCTTTCAATGTTACCCTTGTTGAGGAAATGATCTGAGCTTGTTCTGCTTAATCTTTGAGAAAATATCCCTGTCGCTTCCAAGAATGTTGTTCTTGCAGAATTCAGTAAATTGACCTTCTCTAGTAGTTCTGCTCCAAAAACTATCTGCAATATCATCATCAAGCTGAACACCACTGCTTATGCACACGGACTTGTCATCAAATGGATTCGCCATAGTGGATATCGTGTTAATCACGTCACGCACACACTTCTCATGCTTCAAACACTTGGATACATCAAGATCTTTTTTTTCTCTGAAGTTAAATGTCTCATTATTAAATTTATGTTCATCAAATTTTTGTTCTTTTCAGCGATGTCTTTCTGCTCACCATTGTATAGTAACCAAAGGTCGTGACAATGTAAAACTTTTTTCAAAGATGTCTCGGTAACATCAGTCAATGGACCATTTTCACCTTTAAAATGGATTACACATCCCCGCAAGCTCGCCATTTTGTTGTTTTGATCAAACAATTTATTAACCAACGTAAATATCAAAGTAGATAAGTGTCTTAATAATAGTATCAATGGTATGAATAAAAGCTTTTATCTCCTTTGTCCTAGAAATTACAACCGTGAGTCTTTATTCTTGAGCGTTCGTGAGGTCCAACAATGACTCACAATAGTTTTACTCAGTGGTGTAAACTACTCATATATATATAATATCTATTAGAAGTATTGTGGTTTTGTGACTTACATCCCATACGCAATACAGTATGTTACAGCAAGGATATACTTAACCACAATAACAACAAATGCAGTTGCGGTTTCAAAATATGTTTACATGTAAGCAAAGCTTCTAGCGCATGCAAGCAAGTTTCTAGATTATTTCCTAATTAGTAAGGACATTGCAAAATGGATTTTCAATTTAAAATATAAAAATATGGAATGCTTCGTAATATAATATAATATAATACTAGTTTACAAATGATATTACATGATAATAGTTGCTATCATGTAACAGTGCACCACAATTTTGCTATATTGTCAGCAGTTTCACAAATAAAACAAGATGGCGACAGGTAAAACTTTAAACGAATATTATGAAACTTTGGAGGACTGAAACACCAAAGATTGCAATTTCAAGAGATGTAAACAACTTGAATCATATTCAGTCAGTAAAAATAAGTAGTTTTCTGTGATTTTTATGTAGTCATGAATTTTGGCATTTAGAAATCATTTTTAAGCACATTTTCGTGATACAGAATACGGCCTATTAAACCATGTCTTTTTTGTTTACAAATCCAAGCGTCCTCTTTATATATACCAGTATTGTCTATAGATTGCATACATATTTTAAAATAATCATATTTTTCATCATTTTTATGGTAAATTCTATAAAAATATTCGTTGGTTAAAACACTATCTACAAGTAAAAAGTTCTCATCCATTTTTGTTCATGTCTTCATTTGTTCGTTGATCTTTATACGTGGAATCAGAAAAACCAAAAGGTAGATAAATTTGATTTTTTTCATTTTTCTTGACTGTATTCACATACATTTGAGAATAACTTCCATAAATATTAGAGAATTTTAAATCCTCTCCACGCCATTTTTTTAAATCATTATATAAATCAGATGAAACTAACAAATCGTTTAACAAATCGATATATCCATGAATTAATGAACATAAAGTAACTTCATTTTCTAACACCACTTCTTTTAAAAATTTTTTTCTCTCTCTTTCTTCTTCCTCGTAAGCTTTACTTATTCTTTCCAAGGTTTCAGGAGGGATAGATGCCATTGATATCTTTATATATAATATACAAACCAAAACTTCATGCAACGATACTATTGATATGATTGAATAGTAAATTTCACAACAAATGTTTATAACAACAACCAAGCAAATAAATAAATACTTCGTTATCTACGTTTTTCTTTAAAAACAAGTCGTGTTCATTTTCTTCATATTTATTTAAATCGAAAACCACTTCTTCGTTTTTTTCTTCATTATAGTATGGAGTATTTCTTAAATCATTGTACAATTGTTAATTTTTCAAAATATATCCAATAATCCGAATATAATCATGAATAGAAGAAACTAATTTCCCATTACAAACAATCATATCATTTAGAAAGTCTTTCTTTTTTTTTTTCAGGTATTTTTTCCCATTCAGAAAGATATGTTTGTGCTCTTTTTAGATTTTGTTCCATATTATGTCAATAGAGTTTAAAGAAACAGTAAAAAGAAAACACACTTATATATAAAATAAAATGGGTAAAAATGAAATAGGTAAAATTTATGAATTTTTAACTGAATTTAACTGTAGTAAATGTATATATATATATATTTTTGCAAATAATTATAAATATATAAGTGAATTATCTTTTAATGAATTTATTATTATCCATATAAATCATATTGAATACGAAAAAAAAATAAATAAAAAAAAATTCAAAAATGAATTTAAAAAATGGAAAAAAGAAAAAAACACTTTATATTATCACAAAATTTTATAAAAGTGTAAACTTGCTATTTTTTATTAATTACTAATAGACAGGGTATAAAAACTTAAGTAAAAATCTCTATTGCTAGCATAAACGCAATATATAAAGACTTATTTTATAACTATTGCTTTTCTTGTAAAGCGTGTCAAAAATATAAAATTCATCATAATTTATACTCATTTCCAAGTAAATTACAACGTATTCATTTTCATGCTGACAATTGTTGCACAGAAAACAAAGAAGAAAAAGAATATTTTGCAAAGAAACTAGAAATAGTTGACGAAAATATAAAGAAACTGAATTCTAATAGAGAAATAAATAAAATCACTATACCCTATGATCACATCTTTAAACTGTACATAAAATTACATTATAAATATTGTTTTAATTGTTCATTTTGTCAAACTCATAATATTAAATTATTGTGTTATGAACGTGCGCCATTATCAACTGAAGATTCTATCAAGCATCACGCAGAGTTTTGTTGTGAAGGAAATGAAAAATTAAAGAAAAAAATTGAAAAAAAAATTGAATTTATCGAAAAAGAAAAAGAAAGAAGGAAAAAAAATAAAAAAGCATACAAGAAAGAAATAGAAATTAAAAAAAACATGATAGTTTATTGTAACTCCATTAAATTGTAAACTTTATTCATTTTCATACTAACATTTAGTGGAGAATAGCTGATTTATTTTGGAAAAAATGGATGAAAATAGTGTTGCAAATGAAAGATATAGAAAATTATTTTACAAATATTGTTTTTATTGTAAAGAATGTCAAAGATATCAAATGGAAGCTTTATATAGTGCTTCATTACCAAAAAATCCAACACATTGTGTTTTTCATCATTTATGTGTTTGCTGTAAAGAAAAGGAAGAATTAAAAAGAAAAATTGTAGAAGAAATTGATTTTATTGAAGAAGAGACGAAAAAAAAACACTTCAAGTAATATCGTTTATTTTGTATATATATACAAAAATGGATAAAAATATATTTAGTTTAAAAAATGAGAGATTTCGAAAAATGTTTTATAAATATTGTTTTCATTGTGAGAAATGTCAAAGATATCAAAAGCGTTTATATAACGCGTCATTAGGATTATACCCAGCAAATTTAATTCATCATCATTTATATACATGCTGTAAAGAAAAGAAAGAATTACAAAAAGAAATTGAAAAAGAAATTGATTTTATTCAGAAAAAAAGAACTTTAAATCAATATGTCGTAT